ATATATTGCCATAACAAATAATGTAACATAATTCAAATATACACAAGATATGAAAACAATTGGTGGCATATATAATTTTATATTCACAACAAAACTTTTCTATAACATATGTCACCAGTTTCATAAATACTGCATCACATATTTCACCTAACATATCCACATCAAATCTAATACTACACTACTATAATGCATTACCATTCATGCATCCATTTTCTAACAGATTGTATATGTTGCCAGATCAAATACATATAACAAACTTCAACTGTATATTAGATATAAAAATAATTAGTGTCAAACATAATTTGACTTTCTCACCACAACTTTTATATAACATATGTCAACAAGTTCATAAAAACAACATCACATATTTGACCTAACATATCCATTAAAAATTTATTTGTACACTACTATAATGAATTACCATTAATGCAACTTTTTTCTAACATGTGGCATATGTTGCCATAACAAATATATCTAACATAATTCAAATTTAAATTAGATATGCAAACAATTGGTGGCAAACATAATTTGACTTTCACATCACAACTTTTTTATAACATATGCTAACAGTTTTATAAATACAACATCATATCTGTCACCTAATATATTCACGTAAAATTTACTTCTACACTAGTATAATATTGTATCATTTATGCAATCATTTTCTAACATGTGTCATATGTTAACAGATCAAATTCATATAACAAATTTTAACTGTACATTAGATATCAAAACAATTAGTGTCAAACATGATTTGACTTTCTCACCACAACTTTTATATAACATATATCAACAAGTTCATAAATACAACATTACATATTTGACCTAACATATTCATTAAAAATTTACTTATATACTACTATAATGAATTACCATTAATGTAACTTTTTTTTAACATATGACATATATTGCCATAATAAATACATCTAACATAATTCAAGTTTAAATTAGATATGCAAATAATTGGTGGCAAACATAATTTGGCCTTCACATCACAACTTTTTTATAATATATGCCAACAGTTTCATAAATACAACATCATATCTTTCACCTAACATATTCACATAAAATTTAATTTTACACTAGTATAATGTTTTACCATTCATGTAACTATTTTCTAACGTGTGCCATATGTTAACAGATCAAATTCATATAACAAACTTCTACTGTACATTAGATATAAAAATAATTTGTGTCAAATATAATTTGACTTTCTCACCATAACTTTTATATAACATATGTCAACAAATTCATAAATACAACATCACATATTTGACTTAACATATTCATTAAAAATTTACTTGTACACTACTATAATGAATTACCATTAATGCAACTTTTTTTTAACACGTGGCATATGTTGTCATAACAAATACATATAACATAATTCAAATTTAAATTACATATGCAAACAATTGGTGGCAAACATAATTTTACCTTCACAACACAACTTTTTTATAACATATGTCAACAGTTTTATAAATATAATATCACATCTTTCACCTAACATATCCACATAAAATTTACTTTTACACTACTGTAATGTTTTACCATTCATGTAACAATTTTCTAACATATGCCATATGTTAATATATCAAATACATCTCAAATACGGCAACTGTATACTAGATATGAATACAATGGGTAGCAAACCTAACATATGCACATATAATTGACTTCTACACTACTATAATGCATTACCATTAATGCAACCGTTTTATAACATGTGACATATGTTGGCAGATCAAATACATCTAACATGCTTCAACTATACACTTCATATGAAAACAATTGGTACAATACATATTTTGACCTTCACAATACAATTTTTCTATAACATATGTCAACACTTTCATAAATACAAAATTACATCTTTCAATATTCGGGATATACAAAAATTATTTTACAATTTTATTCAAACTGAAAAGTAATACTCCGTAAAGTTTAGGATTGAACAAGGCTAAAACAGATAAATATAGACATAACATTGGCATAAGAACAAGCTTCAAAATGGTATATGCATATACAATCCTAAACTTTTATTATAACTGACGACTAATAGAGTTTATTCACAAATAAAGTTATTTCACAAAGGCTAAAACAGATAAATATGGGTATATCATACGCACAACAACAAGCTTCAAAATCTGGTATATGCATATACAATCCTAATTTATTTTTTTTTCACTGATGATTAATAGGGTTCGTTCAAAAATAGAGAACAAGGCTAAAACAGATAAATAGGAACATAAAATATGCACAAGAACAAGCTTCCCAATTCTCGGGTTGCCTGAAAATAAGATGAATTCATACTCATCAGGACTAATAATCCAACCTTCAGATTTTTGGATTACCAATAATCATCACCGGATTTGATATATCATTATGAATAAAGTTATAAAAAATTTAAAATAACAACTTAATACTTATAATGATTAGAGCTTCAGCTTCTCGCCGGACTGGATGATCGCAGCTTTAGCTTTTTGTCGGAAGGGATGATCGCAACTTCAGCTTCTCGCCGGACTGGACGATCGCAGCTTTAGCTTCTTGTCGGAAGGGATGATCGCAACTTCAGCTTCTCGCCAGAATGTATGGTGATTTTTCCGAACGAAGCTTCTGAACAAGGACCTTCTCTTCAAAAATCTTTGTCTTTATGTGTCTAATGTCTTGGTTTCCTTCTTTATCGGTTTCCCTTTCCCTTGGAGTTCAGTTTGGATGTTTGAGAAGAGAGTTCTTAGTTTACAGAGCAAAGGCATATTTCAGAATCTGTATATATATATATCAATATCAGTATCAGTTTTGGGGGCAACCTTAATTTTGGTTTTGGAGGGAATTTTAACTTGAAAATCAAATACAGGTACCATGTATTGTGTAAAAAAAGGGTGCAGAAAGAGTAAGCAAAATTACAGGTACGATGTATTATATAAACAAGTATGTACAGAAAAACTACAGTAACTACCCATTTTACCACCTTTGCCACATCAGCCGAGGGGCTCAGCACTGAACAGGTTCCAGTGAGATGCGAATGGAGAGGATTTCTTCCGAATGTTATTATTTCCTTCTGACCAAGGTGGTGCATCTTTCCAAAGGTCATTACACAGACGCATCTCTCCAATAATTAAACCTTCACCAAAGACTGATCATCGACGATACAGTCAGCAGCCGAGGCCAAGATAGTCGTCGATGGTTCACAAATCAAACCAAGATGAAGAAGATCGGTGGTTCAAACCGAGGTGAAGGAGGTCGAAGTTGATCCAGACCGATGTGGTTTTTCGATTTGTAGTTCTTTCATCTGTCTTTCTCCGTATACAAATCTATATATATACACACTATATTTTATGGTTTTCGATCTGTGGTATTACTCTCTATCCATATACAAATATATATCTATGTGCATATATGTTATACATATATTTTTGGGGGGTTGAATTTTATTATTTGTTATCCAAGCCAAGGGATTAAGCCCTAAAAAGTTGATAATTTGCATTTTCGTTTGTTTGGGTCTTGATTTGAGAATAGGTGCCAACCCATTTCACATTCTTGATTTGAGTTTTTTTAGACTGTGATGATAGCTTCAAGGATTTACTATCCCAGTAGCCAAGGATTAAGCCATATATATATATATATATATATATATATATATATATATATATATATCACTAACAGGACGTGAGTGGGACGGTGACAGGTGCAGTCATTTCCCAACGGGAGGGAATGGATTGAGAAAACGCAACCCGCCACGGCTATGGGGCGGGAACGGATTTAGGCAAACCCGCTGCAAATCCAACCAGTTGTCATCCCTAATGCTATGTTTGGTTGGAGGGAAGGATTGAGGGGGGATGGATGAGAGGAGGGATGAATAAATATTTTCGTATTTGGTTGGAGGGAAGGGAAGAGAGGGAGGAAACAAGGAGGGATGCTTCATCCCTCCTTCCTATATGTTTTTCTATCCGCCCACTTTTGGGAGGAAGAGATGAGAGAAAGAAGGCATAACTATCCATGAATTGGTAATTTATAATTTTAACTTTTTCAAAAATTTTGAAATAAATATCTACCTTTTATAATTTTATATAAAAAGGGTATATTGGTAAAAATAATATAAGAACTCTCCTTTCTTTCCTTCCAACCAAACAAGAAAAAAGTATCACTCCATTCCTCCTTTCTACTATCCATTCCATTCAACCAAACATAAAATGGGAAAGACACCCTCCCTTCCTTAGGGATATCTCATCCATCTCTCCTCCTATCTCTTCCATCCATTTTTTTATCCCTCCAACCAAACGAAGCATAAGTCTCCTCTTGATCGTGGGGACCATGATGGTTTGGGAAGACCTCCTTGATGCCATGCCATGGTCTTGAGTATCATCATCATGCACAGAATTGCTATTATGTAATTCAACATTCTACCCCAGTATGATGGATGGAGGATGTAGACCCCTCATGCGGCTATAATGGCAATACCTGTTGTTATGACGTTACAACACTTTACAATCATCTGGGACGTCTGGCTGTATTTTGGACTATCCCCCTTGTCGGAAACTTGCATTGACTGGCTGCCCCGGCATTCATATTGGATCATCCGGCCCTGGATCATGCAGAAATTCGTATCACTTGTTGGCTCCATCTGTGAAAAATGTATACTAGTTTCCTTGATAAATCATGGTCCGACCATGATTTACCATCAATGTGAACAACCACATCATTCGTTCCTTATTCACATTCACATAATATTTTCAAATCGTCTTTATCAACTTTTTTTCCAATTTTATTTCTAATAAGTTTATTACGCAAGAAAGGAAACGGAAGGTTTAATCTCCTCCTCCTCTCATTTCCTTCCAACCATTAATTCAAAATGTACTTTTTAGTAGCCCTGTACGTGAACCTGGAAAAACCATTCTTAATTAGATACGAAAGGAAAATTTAAATAAATACCATTACTAGGGGAAATTTTGTTTAAATCAAACTATCAAAGCAATCAATTAATTATGGTGTAACCAAAATCACAAACCTCAACCATCACAGTTATATTGACACAAATAATGGTTTACAACAAGATTTCTCGTACATTTATGAAGGGAAAAAAATCAAAAAAATACTACAGCTGTTCTTTATACACTTATCAAACAGCTGGATCTATTCTTCTCTGGTATTTCCAAAAAAGTACTATTTCACAAGCAACACACTCAACAATTTGAAGGCAAACAAGCTAAACCCTTGGATCATTTTATTTTGATGCCCTAAAGAGATGGCTCCCAAGGATCACAACTGGGGTTCCTTCCCCCATGATTGTCGTCAAACTCATCTCTTTCTCAAGTATCCGATCCAGTTCCATTACCACATAGCTCATGGCAGGTCGCCTTTCACTGGAAGGGTCCACACAACGGACCATCAACTGTATGAACTCTTCCATGCCTTCTGCTGTGAAGCTATTCCCAAGCCTTTGATCTATGATGGTAGATATCTTGCCAGAATCTTGATAATTTTGCACCTTGACAAATTATAATAAACCAAAATGAATATCAGATGCACCAACAACTATCTATGGCTAAACCAGTTTCAAAGAGGTGTTACATTTCAAAGCACGTATCAAATATCATGCAAATAGTTACTTGCTAATGTGATGAGAATTCTCAATAACCTCTTTATCATCGTGCCACACATGCACATATATTTATGTATATTTGTGTGCAAAATAGACCATAACTCTCCTTGAATGTTTTAAGGTAATTTGCTTGGTACATCAGTTGTTCATAAGTGATTTGTTCGAACCGTTGAATACAACTTCAACTAGGTTTGGATTGGCTGACAGGCTGAGCTGAGTATAGCAATTCCATCTATTTATATATACATTCACTTGGATGGTGAACAAATCAATCAGAAGTCTTATTCTATGTTATAAAGGTAGTGCGTCAGCATTTTGTAAGAACTAAAAAATACCCATTCAACCAGGTTTTGATTCGCATCCAAAGATAGCAATTCCATTGCTTCCCGTCCGCTTACCAACTCCAGAAGGAATACCCCGAAACTGTATACATCACTTTTTTCAGAAAATCGTCTGAATTCTCTCACCCTACATCAGTAAACTTAATAAGGATAAAATAAGATTTACAAAAATAATAGAAGAAAAACACTTAAATGCAGAGAGTGATACTCGGGGGCAAGAAATAGCTCATCGGCAGCCATTTGAGAAGATGGGCCTGCAACATCAACTCTTCCAAGAAAATTCCTTAGTCCAGCATCAGCAACCTTGGCTATGAAAGTTTCATCTACAAGAACATTTGCTGTCTTGAAATCCTTATGTACCAAACGGGGACTAAGGGAGTGGAGATGAGCCAAGCCTGCAGATAGAAGCTAATGAATGAGGCTGCACAAATAAGGAGCGTTGCTTTGAAAACTTTCAAATACAAAGGAGTAGATGCCCTACTAATTTCAAGTCGTAAAGAAGCCTACAAAAGAATTTTGTGGATCGAGATTGATAATCGAGTAATTTATCCATGGAGAAGAAATACTAAACCAGGAAAGCGACAAATGCTCACTGATTTTGCAGAGGATCACCTTTAGCTGCCCCTAGAGCTATTGGAAGTCTGTGCTTGAATTCTAGCTTCTCCCTTGAAACCTGACCAGCACCTACAGATATAAAATCACAAAACTTCACAACTAATGAATCAGAATAAACACAACTGATGAAAGGTTTCTTTAGAAACTATGCTAAGAGCACGACCACAGAAGAAACTTTGATACAGAAACAGTGTTGTGTACATCATGATTCTCTACACATCACATGAAACTAAGGTGACATCTCTACATGACAACAATGGATAAATTTTAAAAAGTTTAGAGCAATAAAGAACATAAGCCCACTTAATTAAAATTATTTACTACTCTCTGGTTGTGAAAGCAAAAATGATAATTGGATAGAGCATTACCATATAAGTGAATAGAAACACTTCCATTAGGTATATATTCATAGACTAGAATTTGCTGATTATTTTCTTGGCAGTAACCTAAAAGTGTCACGAGATTCCGATGCTGAATAGATGAGAGATATCGCACCTGATAGTAAATTCAGTCCAAATACATCAAACCACCAAAAATGAAATTTAAGGGCAACAGGATAATGAGATGGAAAATAAAAGATGCATATACTTGACTAGAAACTTGTTATACATTTCCCTACCAATTCTAGAAACTCGGCAAGTAATATTTCAACAGCACTAGTGCTTGACATTTTTGCCCACATTTCATTAGTAGCTACTTCCTAAAAAATGGAGTCCCTTTATTTTTGATAAATCAAAAAATGGATAAGCCGAATCAAGAGGAAAAAGGCACAAAAACTAGATTCTGTCTTTTGCTGATACAAGGGAAACAGAGTGAAGAAGACACTGGAGTACCAGAATGAGCACTTCCTGAGCTATTGTCTAATGTCACAAAATACACAAACATGATATCCTAAGATTTACAGCAGATATAGCCTTTTGTTGAGGGGAGGGCAACAATCCCATGCCAAAGCCAAAGATCGTTAATTAACACAGCTGCATGGCCCAACCCCCCAACTCCAAAGCCCAACCGACATAGAGAAAGAGAAGAAAAACGTAAGAAGATTGGAACACTCTTCAAGTTAAAATAAAACTTCCAATTTACACTTAGAAATATGTCAAGGTAATAACAAAAGATAAACACCTAAGGGTTAGTCTGGTGGTATTTCCACATCCTCCAAAGTGGAAATTGAGGGTTTAAGTCCCTATAAGGCACAATGGGTGTTTAAGTTACTTGCTAGGGCCAAACAAGAAAATAAAAAATAAAAAATTCCATTATAGGACCTCGCTAACCCATTCCAAACAGATATTAGCATCTTTTGTGATTGTTTTCAATTGTAGCAGAGGAAAGCAAACCATCACCTCTTCAATAAATTCCTGACTAGGAGCACCAGCTCGCCTTTTTATGGCTACAAGAACTCCATCATGAAGCAAACCCTTAAATACCTCTCCAAATTTTCCTTCCCCAATCAAACTTTTATCACTAAAATTTTGTGTAGCCAACGACAGTTCTTCCATCTCGAAACGTCTTGCTTCTCTAAAGGTCAATTCAACACCAACAGGTCTTCCAACTGAAGGTTATCAGAAAATAGTTAATTATTTATACATATATACAAGTATACATGTGTAATATAGGGAAGTTAATGCTTCAAAATCTTGGAATTATACATAACATAAAGTTACCTTGAATGGATGGATCGGAGGAACCTGTCTCAGAAGTACGTGAAACACTCCTATTATGAGACAGGCAGAACCATATAATTATAATTATAATCCCCACCAATGCCACGGCTCCTGCAGCACCTCCCAGTATCGCTGCAAGAGTCCTTGACATTTGGTATGGGAGCCACTTGAGCTACGCGGTAGTAGTTTTAAAATTTGAATTATCAAGCATTGAACCTGAAATATAAAAGAAGACCATAAGTAGAAGAATAGCAAGGGGAAAATTTAATCCACACAAAAAGGGGATCATAAACAGCAAATGACAAACCATATTTGTTAGATATATAAGTGTATATATATTTATGTGACTATTAAAATGACAAAAATAAGTTTCCTGGCAAGTGTTTAACTCTAGTGCAGAAATTGACACAACAAAAATAAGCTAGCTGGCAATTGGTAACCTGGCGTGGCAATAAATACTTTAGAATCTTGAATATATAATCCTTTTAATCTGTGTAGTGAGATTAACAAAACCAAACACAAGGCAGTAGAAAGGAATGAGTCAGTTTACCAATTTGGCTTGAAAGCTCAATGTGGATAGAAGGAAAGCCGCAAAGATCATGTACTGATCTATAAGCAAAATAGAAACGATTCAGAATCTAAAATCTAATCATAATTAAGACTAATGCCAACCAAGCAACAAGAAGCAATGACTGTATTAAATGTTATTTATTGAATGATATCTACCAGGCTAAGAAATCATAGTCAACAATTCTGATTGTGTAACAATGTTTTGGATCCATGACACAAATTCAATTGAGTTTTTTTTTTTTTAATTTAAATTCAGGATAATTTTATTACCAACAAAGCTGAAAACCATATAACTCTCTAATAGACAAAGGGGCAAAATCATACATAATCTTGAACACCAAACCTGTAATGACACAGATACAGCAGCGTAGCCAGATTCCTACTAAAAGTCCCAGCTTCATTTGCTGGTAACAACTTGAATAAGTGTGGGAATAAAGCTAATACCCAGATCAAAATTCACCATCATTCTGACAATACGGAGTTTGTTCTTGCAAATCAAGAAATCAATGGTCTTTCAGCCCTTAAACAGTCCAAAGCAATCCCTTCACTTCACTTGAGGTAATCAATCATCAATCGTTAGAGCCAGTAGTAGTTGTTGCTGTTGTGCACTTCTGGGGATAGTTTAATTGAGATCGAAATTAGAACCAACGCCTTCTTCGCATTATTTTTTAACACGAACAATGCCGACGGAAAGTGACCTTGCACCGACGCACAATCAGGGGGTTTATACTCAAAATAATAATAATAGTAATACAAAACCAATTTACAAATCAAAATGCAAAAATAATAAATAATAATAATAATAATAATAAACCCCTATTATTTTTTGATGTCTCAGAGAGAAAACCCAACAAAAAGAGTTCAAAACGAAGCAAGAGAAGATTCAAGAAGAGAAGAGAAGGATGAAGGAATTAACGAGGACAGACGTGGTCTTGAAGATAGAATAAAATTTAGAGAGGGAGATATTTAATTTATTTATTTTCTTACGGAGTATTTATTTTCCTTATTTGTGTGTGTGCGCCCGCGTTGTAAAGCAGTGTAATGGGTTGTCTGCTACTGCAACTTGGGAGTGTTTTTTTTTTGCTTGCTGTGTCCTGTCCGAAGCATCTTGGTTGTAACAGATTCACACACCCACACACACATACACAAAAGATAGATAGATTGATAGTCATAGAAACACCAACAACAATAACAACACATATAGAGATAGAGATAGAGATAGAGATAGAGAGAGAAAGTAGGGTACCAGTAATAGTCGTATTATATAAGGATGCCAGCTAAGTTGGGGTCGAAATTATAACATCCAAAAAGAAGGCCCTAAAGAAGAAAGTAATACAATACTACTAGTAAAACCATATATACTCTACAATGAGAATAAATATATGTATATATTTATACACACCATAAACAATTGTAGAGAGAGAGAAAATGGCCAGATTCAAAGCAGTGTCCTGTGGGGTTGGTATCCCCACCAGCCAGCTATGTTGACATTGCAACCAAATAATAGGTCATTAAAATATTTAATTAAATTAATTAACAGTAGTATACTACTGATATATATATATATATATATATATTTTTTGACACATATAATATTATATTACATATAGAAATATAAAGCAACAAACATTACAAGGATGTGCTTAGTTTAGTAAATATGTATGACGGCTGCTTGTCCACCCCTCTTTCACTTTGTTAATTTATTCCAAATTTCACATTTAATGCTTTGGATGCTTATCGGCTCGTTTGGTATGCGATTTATTTTAGAGTTTATGGTTTTAATCCATACGAAAATAACGGTATAGGAGTGTTTTGAATAGAAATCGAAACCATGTTTGGTAACTAAAATTCATTTTGAAAAATTTGAAATCAGAAACATGAAAACATATTTCGTAAAATCATGGGTTGGAAGTCTTTTTTATTGTCAAAATTTCTGAATTTTCGTAAAGACTATTTTGTTTTTGTTTTGAAAAATTAAATATATATTAATACAATTATAAGTTTATACTGATATAATTTATATCTAATGGTCATGGTTCAAGAAATTTAGAAAATAAAAATATATTCATTAACACTTCAAACCATTATTAGTTTTTATACCAACTGTACCATCTTCATCTTGACAAGCATGTTTTTATTAAGAGTGAAAACTACAAAATTCCCCAAATATTATGGTAGGAGGGATTTGCAAAATTTTCAACTTTGTGCGACTAACTCCTAAATTCTTGTTCCGCTGGTTTGATATAATTGTGAGTTGCACACTATTGCATCTAGTTACTCCATATCTACAAAATACCCCGAATATTATGGTAGGAGGGATTTGCAAAATTTTCAACTTTGTGCATCTAACGCCTGAATTCTTGTTCCGCTGGTTTGATATAATTGTGGGTTGCACATTATTGCATCTACTTACTCCATATAGAGATGTGATTGGCTTGATTTTCATGAATATCATTGCCATTGTGGATTACTCCATATATATTACTCCAATGTGGTTCGATTGACCGTATGTGATGAATATGATAGCCTCTTTCTAAAAATCATACAAAAATCCTGAATTATTTGGACTAATATTGTAAAAATCATGAATATCATTGCCATTGTGCATTACTCCATATATATTGCTCCATTGTGGTTCAATTATTTGGCCCATAATAACATATTTTTAAGTCGCACCAGAAAACAACTCAGAACAAGTAGAATCACAAAACTGAAAATTACAAGATAATGAGTTCCAACTTAAAATTACAAATACACTCCCTCCAGAACTGAGTACAAATATGTTCCACAACCATTACAGCAAAATTGGAGTGTCACAATTGGAGAGTATCAACTCAGCAGCGCACACTACCAGAATATTAACTCAAATTCATCCCAATAGAGAAGTGGTAGTACACGACAGCATTCATAATTCAATATATAATCCAAAAAACCTAATTTCAAGTTAAATTGAATAGAAATAGAATTGTAACAAGGCAAAATAGTTACCTTTTTTCAAGCTCAGTTCAAAATTCCAGAATTTTAACTCAAATTCATCCCAATAGAGAAGTTGTAGTACACAACAGCAATCTCAAGCACAATATAAGAAAATGACTGTCACAGTTCAATATAGAATCCAAAAAACCTAATTTCAAGTTAAATTGAATAGAAATAGAATTGTAACAAGACAAAATAGTTACCTTTTTTCAAGGTCAGTTCAAAATTTCAGAATTTTAACTCAAATTCATCCCAACAGAGAAGTTGTAGTACACAACAGCAATCCTATGCAAAGAGAAACACAATATAAGAAAATGACAGTCACAGTTCAATATGGAATCCAGAAAACCTTAATTTCAATTTAAATTGAATAGAAACAGAATTGTAAGAACGCAAAACAAAATTTTCAAGCTCAGTTCAAAATTCCAGAATTTTAACTCAAATTCAACCCAATAAAGAAGTTGTAGTACACAACAGCAATCCCATGCAAAGAGAAGCACAATATAAGAAAATGACCGTCATAGTTCAATATAGAATCCAAAAATCCTAATTTCAAGTTAAATTGAATAGAAACATAATTGTAACAAGGCAAAATAGTTATCTTTTTTCAAGCTCAGTTCAAAATTCAAGAATTTTAACTCAAATTCATCCCAATAGAGAAGTTGTAGTACACAACAGCAATCCCATACAAAGAGAAGCACAATATAAGAAAATGACAGTCATAGTTCAATATAGAATCCAAAAAACCTTAATTTCAAGTTAAATTGAATAGAAACAGAATTGTAACAAGGCAAAATAGTTACGTTTTTTCAAGCTTAGTTCAAAATTCCAGAATTTTAACTCAAATTCATCCCAATAGAGAAGTTATAGTACACAACAGCAATCTCATGCAAAGAGAAGCACAATATAAGAAAATGACAGTCATAGTTCAATATAGAATCCAAAAAACAAATTTGAAACAGTCGAGAGCAAACGTTCGAAATTTCTCTACCAAGCACGAACCAGACCAGGGTTTCGGTGAAATATACTTTGGATCACCTCACACGGGTCACAGAACAGAAACGGTCGACAGCAAACATCAATGGAGATTGCAGAGAAAAGCGTTGTAGGATTAGTGATTTATCAATCTGGAACACAATCGAGAGCACACAACGGGGTTTCAATGGAATCGCCTTAGTCTCCTCACATGTGCAAAGACGAAGAGAGAGAAACGGGAGGCCAAAATGAGCCCCAGCGTTTATTATAAATGATATGTCCCTACAGTAATTTGGTTAAAGTATATATGTTTTGGTTTGGGCCTTGATATGGCCGCTGCACTGTCCATAAAACCCAATATCACCAATTCGGTGATACGGGTTTTGCCCAAATTTTCATATCAATTTTGGTAGTATTCAATACCACAGTAGTCCACTCCAAATGTGATATGAGACTAAAATACAAAACCAAAACACCCAAAACAATAACAAACACCATGTCAAACAGGCCCTTAGTTTTGTGGTATGAAATTGAAGTCTTAGAATTGAATTGGTGAATTGGAGAAAATTTTGATTCAATTTTCTGAGTTATTGTTCTCCAATTCCATCAATTCCAGTTCCAAAGTTTCAATTCCATGCCTGCCAAACATAGCCTAATTGAAATTTTGGAATGGAGAGGAGAAAAAGGAGGTCACATCCTTCATTTTTTTTTTTTTTTTTTTTTTTTTTTAAGCATGAAATTTCAAAGGCACAAAGGCCACGCTAACGGCAATACAGAGGCAAAAAGTCAAGCCAGAAAAGGCATACAAATTATGAAGTAAAGCAATAAAATGAAGAACATGCGCCAAATTTGTAGAGAAAACAGAGCCCAAAATTCTGCAACTAAACCACCATGGGAGAAACGCAGCAAACTGGAGTGACCCAAAGGTTAGGCCATCATCAAGGCAACAACTTCAAAGCTACAGCTACAAGGCGCTCCGACACCTAAGAAACCCCGCACAAGATCAAATCAAGGAGAAAAAGATCAAATCTAGGCGGGAGAAAACCAAAACCGACCTAGACCGGAGATCTAGTCGGAGAAAATAACAGATCCACCCATGTGATCCGAAAACGAACCCAACATAAACAGATCTAGCTAAACAAAACAAAAATGACGTAAAAAACCACCCATGGAGCACACTTATTGAAACACGCAGAGTTTATTGCAACCGTGGGAGGCAACCATCATCTCCCCATTCCCATGAAGGGAGCAGGGAGGCACAGAGTGAAGAAGGCGAAGGGATTAGAGAGAGAAAGTTAGAGAGAGGTACATCCTTCATTTCCAAAGAGCATACATAATACTTACTCTTTGTATTATGAATTTATATATATATATATATATATATATATATATATATATATATAAAATTATCAGCAAGAATGCATACAATAGCAAGAAAATGAAATATATGATCACAAAACACTTATGGCCTATTTAGCAACCGCTTCTACTTCGTGTTTTATACTGTAGTAAAACAAAAGTATAAAGCGTATTTGTTAATATTTTTTGTGATTTGAATATTGTCAAAGCGCTTCCAAAAAGAGGTCAAAAACAAAAACACCAAATTGGTTGCTTCTGCATTGTAGCGATGAATAGTTTCCCAAAAAAAATTCTAAAATGACTTTTTAAATAGCCATTTTATTTTTCAAACTTGCAACATTTTTTTACCAAACACGTTCTTACGTTTTTGCTTCCAAAAATCTTGCAATAAATATATGTTACCAAACATGCTTCCTAATAGTATTGAACACACTTCGAAGCAAAAGCACAGTAATTATGGTTCCCAAACAAGTCCTTAATGTAAAAAACATAATATATTAATTCTACTTACACCTAATTATAGATAGATTAAAATTTTGAAGAAAGTAATTATAGTAAAAATATCATATTTTTCCCCCTACCACCACCACCTTGAAATTACTATTAGGCTATGTTTGGTAGGGTGGGTTATGAGGGAAAGGGAAGAAAAGTGAAGGATAATTTTAACCCTCCATCGTGTTTGGTTGATTAATGAAGGAAAAGAAAGGGAAGTATAATAATCATGTTTGGGAAAAGAAAGGGAAGAGAATTATTTTAGAAAATTTACTATATATATATATATAGTCTCCTATACATTTAACACACACAAACACATACATAACTTTTTTATATGTATTTAGTACTAATGGGGAAAATATTTCCATTGGATAAGACTGATAATATTTCGTTATCAAGGATAATGAAATATGACGTGGTTCAACAGGGTAAAGATAACATTGGCACAATTTGAGGAAGTCAAAGGAATAAATCATATCCCCGACAAATCTGGCAACAAACGGATCTCTTCTTATTTCGCACAAGCGGATGATAGGGGAGACCTCAACCATCGACATCGGTGGAACAAATTTGATTCCAATCGACAGCCATAAATAGGGCACTAAGCCATTAAAGAAGGTACGTGAAGAAACCCCTAAAGAATATACATAATTATTATGTGATATGATTACAAGTACTAACTTGATCGTCGAAGGGTCCTTGGCTGGCACCCCAACGGTGCCATTCGAGGTGACTTCCTTTTGTTTTGCAGGTAAACGCCATCATTCCGAGTCGCGAAGATTTTCGCATTAACAGCTGGCGCCGTCTGTGGGAACGATTAGTTCTCTAAAGAAATAATAATCCTGACGCGACTTGGCTCGGACGGCAAGGCGAAAGTTTCCAATTAATGGAAACCATCCCAAAGTCATCAGTTGACAAAGGGTTTCCATGTTCTTATATAAGGACGGGTCTCTACATCATGATTACTCGTCCATTATACTGGGGGCAGAACGGTGGGTTGTGTGATGCCATCCAGTGTACGATGAAAATAATCAAAATTTGGCATGTCGACCCAGGCAGTCCAATGTGGTGTTTTCCATCTAGCGATGCTTGGTCCCCTCACTACTGAGGTTTGGTCGTCTAAGACCAGACTCTATCTCATATCGGGCAACAGCCAATTACCAAGGCCTGATCGTTGAAGACTAAGGCCTGGTCCTCCTTCACCTACATAAATGGGTAGGTCTCCACCCATCAAGAAGATCACTACCAACAAGGGGGTCTCTACCTACTAGTAAAGCCTCTACTACTGAGGATGTCTTTAGCAACGGAGTCTCGTTACTCCGTCCGTTCTTGCAATCAGAGTGGCCTTCTACACCCAAGAATGTATCGAGGCCTTCAGGTCCAAGGAGGTCTAATGTCCCTCCAGATCCCATGAGGTCTGTATTTCCAAGGAGGTTCCTAAGTGAAGGGTGATTATTGGACCCAACGGGGTACTGGCCACCAGACCATCATCTGCCAGCCGTTGGGTACCACGCCCCTATCACGCCAATCGTTGGACATTAAGCCTCCACCTACCAGACGACAGTCGCCACCTCTCTTCCTTTGCAGGTATTGCCTATCAACTTCAAATTATGTAGAACTTTGGATTGATAATTCATGGCAGGTTAATTTTCAGTAATCATTTCTAATACAGTTTAGTATTTTTAGACAACTGTAAATTGTTGCAGCACCAAGCATCCCGTCCGCTGTATAAACGTCTATAGAATGGGTCATCACCCAAGATCCCACCATCGGGGGCAGAATAGTGGATCACACGATATCAATCGTCGATTTGCATATAATAAAAAGGTCTAGAAGATTGACGTACCAACCTTGGTACATCGAGCTAGTCGGATTTCTAGTCTCTTTCCTTTAGCGACCCCTCGAGGGCACTAGTCGTCCAGGACGAGAGGCCAACAACACATTCTTCCCTCATTAAAGGGACAATAAGTTGACTGCTCCTTCTACACAGAATGGTGAAATAATCAAAGCTTCCTTCATTTACTAGAAAGACGAAACGACTACTTCTAGTATTAAAGGGGTCACCCTCCTTCAGACTACACCTCTTTCCCCATAAAGGAATGAAGGGTCAACTTCATCTTCTTCCCTCGGTAAAGAGACGACGTGTTAACTACTCCTTTATTAAAGGGAGAGCTCACAACGCTCGAGCAAATCCACTTCCCTTATTAAAAGGGGCAAGAAAGTAATCTTCAAGCATGCTTAGCTCAGTAGGACTTGGCATTCTCGACGCTTGACAAAAATCTAATTCCCTTACTAAAGGGATACAAGGGATGATAATGAGTGTCCTGTATTAAAAGAACCAGAGCTGAATGAATCCCGTAATCAATATCCCCGTACGTACTATAAGGGATAATAAATAATTGTCCTACACTACAGGGACCCGGGTTGAATGAATCCCGTAATTAATATCCCGTATTATAAGGGATAGTAAATAAGTATCCTGTATTACAAGGATCCGGGCTGAATGAATCCCGTAATCAATATCCCCTTACTATAAGGTATAGTAAATAAAAATTCCTTACTAAAGGGATGAGTTGAGTAAAGCTCATAAAATTTAATTCCCTTATTAAATGAGTGATGACCTGAGTAAAGATCGTACAATTTATTCCCTTACCAAGGGAAGAGTACCCAAGGGTACTAAAAATAGTACACAAGGGCAAAGTACCCAAGGGTACCAAAAATAGTACCCAGGGGCAGAGTACTCAGGGGCAGCGTACCCAAGGGAAGATTACCCAAGGGTACCAAAAATAGTACCCTGGGGCAAAGTACCCGTAGGTACCAAATATAATACCCAAGGGCAGAGTACCCAAGGGTACCAAAAATAGTACCCAAGGGTAGGAAGAAAAAAAAAAAGAAAAAAAAAAAAGGAAAAGAAAAGAAGAAGTTACTGTTCATGTGAACAGTACCTGCGGGAATAGTACCCACGGGTACTGTTCCCAGGCAGGGGCGGAGCCAGGAATTTGTTTCAAGGGGGGCGCCGTATTATTTTTTTTTCAAGCGAATAGTGATGCAAAACAATAAATCAAAAAATAGAACTGTAATAATGGTGGAATAATAACATTTAATAATTTAAAAAATAATTATTTAAAAAAAATGGAAACATAAAATACCAATCTTAAGAGTCCGTTTAGCAACAAATTTAATTACCAAACTTTGAAGAAAATTAAAAAAAATAGTTTGAATACAGGAATGCAATTTTTTTGTTTTTTAAGAGAATATAAAAAAATAAAAGAAGAATATAAAGAAGAAGAAGAAAAAGAAGAAGTGGAGGAGGAGGAGTAAGAATGAAAAGAAAGGAAAATTTAAAGATATTTTTTAAAAATAATTATTTTAGTGGGTATTTTTGTAAAATTTTATAAATTTTAGGCCTATTTGCAATAGAAATTCATTGGCACAAGGGTAAATAATTATTTCACGGGGCATTTTTCACTTTTTTATAAATTATTGGCCTGTGTGTAATAAAAATTAATGGCCATTTTCTAGAAAAAAATTATTTTAGGGGGGGCATTTTGAAAACTTTTTATAAATCATAGACCATTTTGTAATTAAAACTAATGGGTCAGCATGGGCCCAGGGGGGCAATGGGCCTCCCTGGGCCTATGCTGGCTCCACCCCTGTTCCCAGGGTAAGGAAAAAAAAAAAAAAGTTACTGTTTATGTGAACAGTACCCCCCGCGGGTACTGTTCCCGAGGGGCAAAAAAAAAAAAAATCACATTCCCAAAGCTAGACGAGCAAGCTTGGGAATGGGGGGCAACTGATAGGGAAAATATTTTCATTGGATAAGACTAATAATATTTCATTATCAAGGATAATGAAATATGACGTGGTTCAACAGAGTAAAGATGACTTTGACACAATTTGAGGATGTCAAAGGAATAAATCATATCCCTGACAAATCTGGTAATAAACGAATCTCTTCTTATCTTGCACAAGCGGATGATAAGGGAGACCTTAACCATCGACATCGGCGGAACGAATTTGATTCCAATCAACAGTCATAAATAGGGCACCAAGCCATTAAAGAAGGTACGTGAAAAAACCCTTAAAGAGAATATACATAATTATTATGTGATACAATTACAAGTACTAACTTGATCGTCGGAGGGTCCTTGACTGGCACCCCATCGACGCCATTCGAGGTGACGTCTTTTTGTTTTGCAGGTAAACGCCGTCATTCCGAGTTGCGAAGATTGTCGCATCAACAAGTACTAAAAATAAATAGCAAAATTTCAGCAACTTCCTAGAGCAAAAATATAAAAAAATAAAATAAAATAAAAAAGTAAAATAGCCTCTGTGAGCACATGGATGATAGGCCAAAAAAAAAAAAACAAAACAAAATTTAGGGCAAATCATTTTAGCCTCCCCAATCTCTCCGCCTCCATCTCTATTCTCGTTCTCACCTCTGAACTTGCCCCCCCCCCCCCCCCCCCTTTCTCTTTCTCTGCACTACAAGAATCAGAAGTTCAAATCCCATATATTTGAGTTTATCTATCTGTCAGCAAGAATCAAAAGTTCAAAACCCATATCGGCATATCATTTCAAATTGTTCAAAAAATCAAAACCCGTATCGTTCAATTTCCATCACTGTTGTCCAGTTCGGGTTCGCTGTTCGCAAGCTTCAGTCGCTGTCCGCCGTCTCACGCTTCTCTGCAACTGCTAACTTGTATGTATCTGTAATTCTTGTTTTGCAAACTTGTGTAATCTGTGAGGGTAAATTTGGCATCAGGATACATCAAGCTCTCCTTCCCTTTCCTTCTGTTTCCTCCCATTTTTGGGAGGATAAGCAAGTTACTGTTTGAGCCTTGTACTAACCTTTCAAAACCATCCCTTTCCTTCCCACTATTTTTGACAAACACAAATTTTTAATCACCCTCCATCACCTTTCCTTCCCTTTCTACCCTTTTCCATTGCACCAAACTGAAGCTTAATCTCTTATTTCTAACACTGAGGCCCATTACATTCATGAAATGAAAAAAATAATATAAATAAATAAACTAATACTTATGACATTTTGGAAATGGTGCCAATAAGGCCACTTTGGAGCTACATATGAGAGTGGAGATCAGTTTGCTATAAACATTGTTCAAATAAATACTGATTTGCCATTAAATTTCAAAAGTAGCAACCCCGTGACATTCCGGGATAGGAAACGAGGTAAACTATAGTGTAGAATTTTATTTTTTTTTCCTAATGTGTAGAAATTAGGATGACATGTTACATGTTATTGGCATTTTTCATAAATAAAAAAAAATTCAATCCAATTTTAATTATATTGAAAGTCATAAGTCTTAATATGGGGTTTTTATTTTAATTTTTGTTTCCTTGAGCTTCTATAAGTTTACCTAGTGTTACAACTCATCAACAATGCCCTAGTTCTTTTTCAATTAATTTGTTTATTCTAACAAAGCTTGCACACTTGAATGTGAGCCGAAATTTGTTTTCTGGTGCTAAAGCTAAGCTAAGCTAAGCTGGGGATTCGGGAAACAACCCTATTTATTGTCGTGTTAGCATCATCATCGTGTTTAATCCTTAGAAGACATTCAAAGTGCCTACTCTTAACACATTATATTACTAACTATTTCCGGCCCTTGCATCAACCAGCAACACGGATACGGTGGAGTCGCTTTCTGTTCGGCCATCAATGCAGCAGCAGGTTCTAAATAAATTGAAGCAGTTAAGGTCCTGTTTGACATGCATTTTGTTGCTGTTTTCGTTTTTGAGCTGCTACAGTGTCAATTTTGGTAACAAAAACATGTTTGATACGGCTTATTTTATTTTACACAGTGCTAAAACCAAAACACCAAAAAGTTATTTTTTCTTATTTTGACAACTGTTCATGGCTCAAAACCATAACCATGCATGTTTCTATTTCTGGCATTTCTACAGTAAAACATCGCTCCCAAACATGGGTTTCGATTTTTTTCTAAAACACTCCTAAAACAAAAACATTGTTTCTATTTTAGCTAAAAACAAAGCACATGCCAAACAGGCCCTTAGCTGACAATATACCAAAACCATTGTATCCAAGACGAAATTCATTAGATTCTTCAGTTTGCAGATTGGTTTACAGGATACATTCTTAATATAATTTGAATGTTGAAGTGATGGCAACATGTTTAGCTCATACAAGGCATGTTCAATCTGTAAGATACACTCTAATCCTTTCGCATGAGCAAGAGACTTGCTTAACTTGGAACCTGGAACACATCATCTATTTCCTAGGCATAAGAACTGCTAGTTAGACACACAGACTGTTTGATCAACAGAGGTAGCCAGTTGCTGATTTAGATTTGCGATCTAAATCAGCCACTGGAGAATCTTAAAGAAGCCATCATATACCATCTATATTCAAGCGCGCACGCTCGCGCGCGTGAACACACACACACACACACAATGTATATATAGCGCCAGGCATCTCCAAAGGGATAATTAACAACTGCTGCAGCATTCCAAATCAATTTACATTACAGAATTCTCAGAAAGTTACTTGCACACAAATAAAATAAACTAAATGGTAAAAGAACTTTTAAAATATGTGTACCACCGTTGTCTACAGTGTCACATCAACCACCAAGAGTAGGAAAGAAACCTGGGCTGAGGGGAAACTAAAACAACATGAACAAACCCTGTCCGAGATGCGTGCGAAGAGGTGCCTGAGAATATCTCCCAAGCCATAAGGACACGAGAATAGAGAAGCCTACCTTCCCAAGACAATTCACGGAACAATAGTAATCTGTTTTGCTTTGAGGACAAGCTCCTCGGTGGTTGTACCAATAACCTCATTACCACGCTTGAGGCCCACGCAGTAATACCTTCCAATTGTATCCTGATTCCAGAGATTTACAACGAAGTTAGAAAAGACAAAAGCACAAAGAATTTTTTTTATTTTTTATTTTTTATTTTTATACTCCTATAAAAGATTTGGCAGAAAAGAGTAGTTCATCAGGTTCATAACAATGAGAATTTTGCTTAGACAATGCTTTGTTTAAAAGAGTTGGAGTGGTTTAATCCTATATTAAACATATCGATACATCAGTGTGCCACTAAAACATGTATACATTCCATTGGCAAATACAGATCATGGTGTTAGGCATGATTCTCCCACATTCAACGAGAAAATCTTGTATGGGTTCTCTTACTGGATTTATGCAATCAATCAGATCAACACATCCAATTACAAGAAATGACATGGACATTAGTAAGTCAGCAACGGTTCAATAAACTAGATATTACTTAACAAAAGAATAAACAACAGTTGATATAGAAAAAGAAAAGGAGAGAGATTCTCACCCGGGCAACAATGCCCAACTTCTCCAACTTCTGAACTGCATCATCCACATCAAAGTTGCAGCTCTCACCAAACTCTTCTTTAATCAATTCCTCACACCGCAAGTCAAGATCCTATTCCACAATAACAGTCATAAACAAATGACTATAGAACAAATTGCATTCAATATTTTGCAGGAAACAGATAAACAATGAAAGAAAGAAGGAAAAGGCTGGAGTGATTGCATACCTGTCGAGTAGCTTTGCCCTGTTCCATCAATATAAAGAAAGAAATGATCACCTCTTTTACCTGCACAGGCAAATTATGGGATTACAATTGCTTCAATCAAGAATTATAGACTTTTGATTGGCTAGCGAGCTTCGTGAATCAGATCCTAGCAATTCATCCAACAATCAATACAAACAAAGAAATTTATTACTGTACACTTGGTAATGATGGAAGGTTGAGCTAAATTCTTCTGCAAGTTTCAAGCTAGCTACTAGAGCACATAACTTACTTCTTGTTGAATAACATCATCGCACAAGTGAAGAAGGGTGCCTTTTCCACTGTCCAGTTGTTTGTCATACATGGACTGCGTAATTAAGTTCTGATATGTAGCCATGTTTTGCTGAAACCTGCGGGCAGGTGAAGAAACATTAGCCACTTTAGTATATACCCAAGCACAGTGCATGATCCAGCAGATCCAATCAAGAAGAGATCCTGCAGGAGAAGTTGCCCTGATGAAATCATCCACCCTATATGATTGGGTGGGCAGAATATAAGAATATTAAGATAAATAAAGAAATACAAATAGTTGACGGTTGATTCGGTCAACTAGTTCCACAGTAGTACAGAATGATCAACTGAATTATACACATCCATATGCAGCAAATCCAGATAAAGAGAACAATTTACGTGAAGTATGTCTTAGCACAGTAACCAATCACTGTGGAGAGGATGGCAAACATGACCCAAAGATCACCTTTAGGCATGTCAAGTGAACCCACTACAGCCACCTGTAAAAATGTCGTTATAGGAGCATCTGAATGAAAAATCTAAAAAATAAAAAGAACAGTCCATCTTAACAAACTTCAAAGATATTAACTGACCAGACCAACTATAGCAGATCCGAGGAATTTAACCCAGTCCATTGGGGTTAAACTTGGATTTTTCTTTTCTGGCTGTTAAAGAGCAAAAGTTTAGACACCAGGCTGTAGGCTAAATGCAAGATTAGAGGAAATAGAAAATTCAAATACCACAACCAAACACACAGCTAAAAACTCACGAGAACTATCTCCATATCGGCCATTGGGATATTTTTGAAATGCTTCACGTATATGCCTCGTTCAATTTTGGTTTTGGTGCTTGCTCGCCTGCTTGGTCACAATCTTGTTACACATCAATACAGTACACTATAATTAATAGATGTTTCTCTGATATGCAATTAATCCCTTCTCGAGTGCCCTCAATTTCCTCAGGTGAAAGAGGGCCGAAAGAAGCAGTTGGAATCCATGGCAAAAGTAACCACCAAATTGATTTTAAAGAGGAAATATGTCCCAATAAAACGATCCAAAATATAGGCCCCAAGAATATTATAAAGCAGAAGGAAGAAAACAGTACCTATAAACAACAATTATCCTATCAAAGGTAGGTTCTTGGATTGTGATCTTGCCCAGCAGATTGCTTAAACTGGAAAGAAGTGGGGTGAGTGAAAATGTCATGATCTGGAAAAAAATATCAGTGATTCACACAATTATATTTATGCAGATATATAGATGACTCTGTAATCAAGTGCTGCTGTGCATGAGTATTCATGAGAATGAAATACTAACCAACTTTTGTGGTTATGCCAACAGAGGATGACAAAATGGTGACTGGATAGACTAAAAGTGTGTCTGGCTACCCCAAATAAATGTATCCAGTGCAAAGTTTTGAGCATCTATAACTTCCATGAATAAGTTCTGGTTTTCAGTGTTTTATATGTATACATGTACATATACATATACATATTTATGTATATTTATATATGAGTAGTGATACTCAAGCCGAAGAGTTGGGCATAACTCTTTGACCGAATACTCTTCATTGGTCCTTTATGCAAGTGATAAGGAAGTGGGGGGTTCCACTTTCTTATATTTTGTATACATTGACCAATTAAAAGCATTCGGTCAAGATTTTCTCTACAACTCCTCAGCTTTAAAATCATTTTTCTTTATATACAAGTGCTGCATGCAAACAAAATAAAATTTTAAAACTTTAGAATTTGATAACAATCGGGTTTCATTTGTTGGATAAAGTTTGGGATAATGCATTGAAGAACTCCAAGAGACCAACAGCAGAGGATGGCATCTTTCTAACAGCTTAGACCATCTCCAATGCAAAATGCCATTTTTTAATGCCAAATCTATATTTTGAGAGGAGTTACAGTGTCAAAATATTATATTTTAGCAATTCTGCTCCAATGGTGCATTTCATCCAAAATGCTATTTTTTGACACAACCACCATTATTTTTCAACTACCATTCCCAACTACAATTTTCAACAACCATTTTTTTTTTTTTTTTGAGTGTTTGTATTTTATTTAGCTTATTTGCCTTATTAAAAATAAATAAATAAAAATACTGACATATATATATATATATATACACACACAAGCACAACAGACATATACATATATATACACACAACACTGACATATATATATATTTATATATACAAGCACAACTAACATATATATATACACAAGCACAACACCAAATTGGCAGCCCATGCGAGATAGAAGAGAGAAGGAAGAGAGCAATAGCAGATTTGGCAAAAGCTATATGTTGTGCTATATTTGGCACAACATTTGGCAAAGTTATATTTTGGCAGCCCATTTGGCATGCCATTGGAGAGCCCATTTTAAACCCATATGCTATATTTTGAAAATAGCAGCCCAAATAGCAACCCATTGGAGTTGCTCTTAGCATGGAAAGAAAATGCCAAGGCTAAGAGTCACAAGAACTGCAAAGAGAAGATGCCATTACTAACCTGAGTTCCATATTTTCGAGACGGACCCGTTCAACATGCAAGTCATCCAGATCTGCCTCAGTGTGGATTTCATCATCTTGTTTAGGATCTTTCATACGACGTGTACTAGATTTTTTAGAAAACACTCTTTCTAGCCTACAAGCAACATACATCAAGGATAGAAAAAATTCAAAGGTAATGCACATGACAAAGCTTAATCCAAAGGATGAAAATACAGTATACAAATAGTCTATTGGCAGAAAAAAAAAAAAAAAAAAAAAAAATTTGAGCTCCCTTACACCTGATTGAAATTCAGAACCATAACAAAAAAATTAGTTGCTCTGACCCGAAGTGCTGATTATCTAAAAATTACTCACCTAGTCTGTCTCATAAGCCATGCCCATAAACGTGCAATGAGCATGTCAACTTTCTCCATGAAAAAGTAATCAGTTGTCCGATCAATTCCAATGCCACGTCGGAAGATTACATACTAGAAACAAGCACAAGGATTAAGTAAAGGAAGCAAACTTTACTTGTTATAGTTATCAATAAAAACCATCTCACCTTATCCTCATTATTTGGGGACATAAATACAGATCCTTGTCTGCCGCTAATAAGGAACCATGAAGAAAATTAAAGACACCCGACTACTATAAAATTTACTAGGATTAGATGGAGAGTCATCAACATCCATGAATTTGTTGAATGACACTGTTCACGTAAATTAGCATGCTTCAATCATTTTTCAACTAGAAAATTGTTAGAATGTGTGTATTAGGGCATATTTGTGATTTGCTTATTCCCAAAGGGGTATTTTAGTCTTTTGTTATTTCTGTACACTTGTATAAATAATCACATAAGGCTCAAGAGGTGTTGCTGCAATATACAGAAATTTTAAACCAAGTCTCTTACTTCTCTATCTTTCAAACCCAAGTTCCAACATGGTATCAGAGCGGCTACGATCGATGTTCTTGGTGTGTGAGATTGGAATATTGTAATCGCAGTTGTGTGTATTGCAATCATCATCGTTTCCATCACAGTCCCCATCATCGCTATCACAGTAGCAGTTGTCATTGCTATTGTTGTTCCATCTTTACTGTTGGTGTATAAATATATATATACAGTTGTTGCAGGATATCAAATAGGGATTTGGAGAAGACAGGAGAGTTTGGCTGTGAATATTGGCTGTCCCAAGCCAGAATAAATTTATGTCCAGTTGATCTAATTACCCTGATTTGTTTTGATTGGAGCAGTTGGTTAACCCGCTGTCCCGACCCGGCTGATTCACACTGATTCCCCAGGTTTGATCAGTTTATTTTAACAGTTCTTCTCTTCTCGGCCATTTTTTTTTTCCTGATCTTGAGTATTTCCTGGCAATTTTATTTTGAGTGATTCAGTATGGCAACCAATTCCAACTTATTTTCGTCCACAGCATCCTTTAACCCTCAAATGACTTCAGTGAAGCTTAATGGTAAAAATTATGTCTTGTAGGCTAAATCAGTAGAAGTAATTCTTGAAAGCTAAAGGCCTTGGTACTCATCTGGTTAAAAACAAACCCGAAGAAAGCGATGCTAGTTTCGATTCATGGGAACTGAAGGATGCTCAACGTGAGGTTATTAATGTTGTGCAGTTCATGCACAGATTTTGGGGAGCCCTCAACTTCCATATCTTCCTGATGTATTTTCCCGACTCCGGCGGGCTACTCTTTCTAGTGGCACTTCCAGTGTACAAACTGATGGTGATAGTGAATTTTCAGCGTTAATTGTCTCCCAAGTGTCCTCTAAAGACGATGGTTCTAGTGCATCAGTTGCATCTATTGGTCCTCATCAGTTTGCTAAATCTGACGTGATCACTATTATCTTCCCATCACAGTCACTGGATTATTATTGTCACCTTTGCTAAGACTCTTCATTGTCTACTAAAATTACTAAGACTCTTCATTGTTCAGTCACCTTTTATCCCACATGTTGTGTTTTACAGGATCTCAAGACGAAGACGAAGATTGGTACGGGGCATGAAGTAGGTGGATTGTATTACTTCGATTTTGAGCATCATCCCAAAGCTCTTCAAACCTCTTTATCTCCATTACAATGGCATTGCGGTCTTGGACACCCGTTACTACCTGTTTTTCAATGTCAAGTCCCTAGTCTTAGTCGTGTTCTGTCTATCTGGGGTGGCAATTCGTGTTCGCGGGTCGTAATCGTGTCGTGTCGATCTAAGGGTATTCTACTAAACAGTTCAACCCGAACACGACCCGTTTAATAATTGTGTCAGGAACCCTCAACACTAACCCGACCTGTTTATTAAACGAGTTACACGTGTAACCCGTCTAATGACATGTTTAATAAAATCAAATATTTTATTATTTAAATTATTAATAATAGTCGATCAAACATTAAATACAAGAAAAATATAAATTTCAATCCAACCAAATTACTAAATAATCTCTAATCTACAAAATAATAAATTATAACATACAAGTTTAGATAATTATTTTGGAACTTAAATAGAAATTTTCTTATAATATGTATATTTAAACGGGTATAAACGGGTTACACGGGTTGAACTCCTCAACCAAAACACGACACGATTAACTAAACGGGTTAATCGTGTCAACCCGTTTAAGGTCAACCCAAACCCGTTTAGTCCTTTTCAAACTTTGCCACCCCTATGTCTATGTCATGTGAAGCTTGTCAGCTTAGTAAGCATAATCGTATCCCTTTTAAGTCTCGAGTTAATAACCGTATGTTTAGTCCTTTTCAATTAATTCATTCCAATGTATGGAGACCAATAAAGCATATTTCTATCAATGGATTTCGTTATTTTGTGACATTTGTGGATGATCATTCTCATATGACTTGGTTGTTTTTAATGAAAGATCGCTTTGAGTTATTCTCAATATTTCAAATTTTTCGTAAAGAAATAAAAACTCAGTTTGGATGTTCCATTAAAGTTTTGCGTTCTGACAATGCCAAAAAATATTCCTCTGATCCTTTTGATACTTATTTTCGTGCTAAAGGCATTATTCATCAAACATCATGTACTTATACTCCACAAATGGCGTGGTTGAGCGTAAAAAAAGCCATCTCTTGGAAGTGACTGGTGCTCTCTTATTCCATATGCATGTCCCTAAACGGTTTTGGAGTGATGTTGTTCTTACCGCTTGTCATCTTATTAACCGCATGCCATCCTCTGTGTTGCAAGGAAAATCCCCCCATTCTGTTTTATTTCCTAGTTCAACTTTGTTTTCTCTTACTCCTCAGGTATTTGGGTGTGTTAGCTATGTCCATAACTTTGGACCGGGTTTTGACAAGCTTGATCCTCGTGCAACTAAATGTGTGTTTCATGGGTATTCTCGCACTCAGAATGGTTATCGTTGTTACAGTCCTACCCTTCAGCAGTATCTTACTAGTGTTGATATCTCCCTTTGCAAGTCTGACCCATATTTTTCTGATTGTAGTTCTCCTCTTGATATTACTCCTAAGCCATCTTTGCCACCTCTTCCCTTATTGTGTCCTAGTCCTGCTCTTCTCCAATTTGTTGTTCCATTACAAGTTTACACTCGAAGACCCAAGCTGCCTACTCTGCCTCCTCTATATTCTTCGAAGTCTTTGGATCCGGCTTCGTCTGGTGTGTCCGACTCTTTACATATTGCTCTACATAAAGGTACTCGATCTTGTGCCTCATCATCCCATTACTAACTATGTCTCATATAATTCCCTATCTCCATCTTTTTCATGTTTTTCATCCACCCATGTTCCTAAGACTGTGCAGAATGCTCTCTCTGATCCGGGTTGGAGAAAGGCAATGAAAGATGAAATTAATGCCCTTCATCGTAATTGGAATTGGGATCTTGTTCCTTTGCCTTCTGGTGCCTATTGGGAGAAAATATAAGGATTTGACCTGTATTCGGAGTATCTTTAGGGATTGGATTTGATCTGATCTTAATATTATTTTATGATATTCATCATAGGCCTATTAGAGGCATAGGATCAGTGATTTGATTTACTTTCCACTTATATAATATTCAGTCTATAATATAAATTAGGAGGATGGCTAATGAGAATTTGTGGCTTACAAGAGCCTTTTAAATTCAACTTGGTATCAGAGCCAAGAACACAACACACACTCCACTGCTTGATCTCTACTTTATATTCTCTTGGTTCATCCTCTCCTCTTTTTGTGTTCTTTAATTTTTCAGTCACCAACCATAAACCACACCCAAGCATACCAAACCCCTTTGGGGGTATTTCTTCTTCCCTCCATCGCTTCATGTGGTGGGGTCTCTCTTTAAACCAATGACCGGCTCGGTCGTTATGTGTTGTTGACGAATCGTCCAACGTCTTTTCATTCTCTATCGACTTTCGCAAGGTCATTACATGTTGTTGACAAATTGTCTCACTCTTGCAGATAGAGCTGCTCACTTGGAAGACTTCTCCAGCCCTTGTGACTTGCAGACAACAGTATTTACAATCTGCAATTCAGTAAGAATCTACGATTTGAATCTATATCATCACAATCTGAGAAATGGAATCTATTCAGACTAAGGATACTGCATCCTATGGGCATAGTTCCCAAGCCCAAAGGATTACTACAGTTTTATTAAATGGGAAAATTTTTCCGTCTTGGTTGTGAACAGTGAGACTTTATTTAGGTAGTCGGGGTAAAACTAGATATTTATTGGGCACTATTAAAAAAACCAGCACCTGCTGAACCCAAGTTTACACAATGGGACATTGATAACTATACCATACTTAGGTGGTTATTCAATTTTATGGAGCAATGTATTTATAATATGTTTATGTATCATGAAACTGTACACACCTTATGAACTGTTCTCACTAAGACTTATGCTCATGCTTGTAATGAAGCCCGAATCTATGAGCTGCATCGAGATATCTAACGAGCTACCTAAGACGATTTGAAGCTTTCAGTTGCAAATTACGCTACCTTCCTTCAGTCACGTTGGGAGGAACTTGCTCACTATGAGTCCCTTGGTGATATCTTAGCAAAGACTGCAGGGATTATTAAGGCTCATGAGCGCCATCAAATTTATCAGTTTCTTATAGGACTCCGTCCAGAATTTGAGGCCCTTTGTGCTCAAATTCTAAATATTACACCTCTACCCTCTCTTTTCGAGGCTTTTGCTATTATTGATGGGGATGATCGTCGATGTCAAGTTACACCTTCGATGGCTCCTACTACACTTCCTACACCTGACACTGATCAGATGGCATTAGTCGCTTTTCCTAGACCATCTGGTACTCGCAACCGTGGCCGTGGCAGTAACCATGACAGGGGAGTTCTACCATATGTGCACACTATGGAAAAATTGGTCATGCTAAAGATAAGTGCTTCCAGCTCTAACAGCACCTCAGATCTAGCAGCACTACAACTTCTTCTACTGCTGCTATTGTCAAGTCCTTTGGTACCCATGAGCCACCTGCTCCTCCGCCTGGATGTATTGATATGCATCAATTGCATACATAA